TCTCACACTCACACTCACACTCTCACACTCTCACACTCTCACACTCACACTCTCACACTCTCACACTCACACTCTCACACTCTCACTCTCTCTCTCTCTCTCTCACACACACACTCTCACACTCTCACACTCTCTCTCTCTCTCTCTTATATCTCCTGGATTTGACTTCCAAAAGGGGGTGAGTTAAAATTTTTGTCTTTTTCATTGTTGGGGAAACTGTTTAAAAACGGTGTTGAGATCGCGACTTTTGCTTGGCTGTAAAGCTGCATTCTCACTCAACAGCAATGTAGTATTTTATCACACGTTGGAAAAGCTAGTTACTAGAAAAGCTACACAATTTTTTTAGTTAGTTCCTCATAAAAAAACTTTTTTTTGTTAAGCATCGTTATGTTTCAGGTGATTAGTACTGATCATTGTAAATGTTTGCCAGCGTGGTGAGAAGCTCGTCAGCGATGTACATGACGTTAGAGTTCTGGACCGCCGATTCCCTGTGGCTCCTCGCAAGGTTACCGACTTTCCACAGTTTCCACCCTCGTACCCAGGTGCGACACAGACCAAAGAGCAAAGCTCAACCCCGATCATGCATTTCAAAGGCTTATTTTCAGAAGGATTATGAAAGATAGCTTTTTAGCTCCTTCACCCCCCAAAAACAAGCTCAAATCCTTTTATTTGTCCCCCCTGTGCGCTTAAGAGCTTTGAGCCGGTGTTTGTGGTCCCTGCCTGGGCCGGAGTTCTCACACTGTCCCGTGTCGGACCACCTTCTAAGAACCTCTAAGCCCTTCGCCTTCCCCGCGCCGACAAGATACAACGGTGGCCATTGAAGTGCGGGAGAGATTAGGCCTCACCTCAAAGACTTCAACCACTTAAAGATAATCTGAAAGTAATAGAGCAGGCTGGGATTAATTGGAGAACAATTGCCACCGTGTCCCCAGGAAGGGGGTAAGTCTGACCCCCATGTGGCTTTGATGCACCCCTTCCTGAACCGGGACGGCGTGCCAAGCAAGCCACCTCTCTTCTCGGTTGGTACAGTGTGACTGTGCTTGCCAGATGATGGTTTAAGAGGCGTTTTACCTGTAAAAAAAATCAGAAGTTGAAAAAAACTCAAAAACTTCAGGCAACCATCATCAGGAGTTTTTAAGTTTACTCAATTTGTGGAAAAATCATTGTATCAGTTTAACAATTTAAAGTTTCATCAAACGCAATATGTGACCCTGGACCACAAAACCAGTCTTAAGTCGCTGGGGTATATTTGTAGCAATAGCCAAAAATATATTGTATGGGTCAAAATTATTGATTTTTCTTTTATGCCAAAAATCATTAGGATATTAAGGAAAGATCATGTTCCATGAAGATATTTTGTAAATTTCCTACCGTAAATATATTAAAACTTAATTTTTGATTAGTAATATGCATTGCTAAGAAATTCATTTGAACAACTTTAAAGGCGATTTTCTCAATATTTAGAGTTTTTTGCACTCTCAGATTCCAGATTTTCAAATAGTTTTATCTCGGCCAAATATTGTCCTATCCTAACAAACCATACATCAATGTTAAGCTTATTTATTCAGCTTTCAGATGATGTATAAATCTCAATTTCGAAAAATGTACCCTTATGACTAGTTTTGTGGTCCAAGGGTCACATATATGTTCTATGAACTCAAAATTAATGTTTTCAATTGTAGATCATTATTCAGTCAGCTTGCATTTGAAATTAATGTAAGTATTAGTGGTGTAGAGTTGTCTTAGTTTATCTAACTTGTGTATCAGTTTGTTGAGCAATCTAAAAATACAGATAAATATGAGAATATAGAATAATAATTACTTCAATACACCAAAGAAAGTTGTGTATATGTGCTGAAATGGAAAAAAATCTTACTGAAAAGAATCACTCTAATGGTGACTTGAAACATACATTTAATGACAAAATACTATCAAAAACACTACATAGAGCTAAAACATCTGATATTTCTGAATGACAAATATTTGTTATTATAACTCCCTGTGCTTTGACTAAAAATACAAATTATTCAAGTGCATAAACGCTGATCAAACTGAGCATGCCCAGTATTTTCTCAGTTGGACCCTCACCACTAAACTTGACATTGTAAGTTCTCAAACTAAATGAACAAAAAATGGACTTTAATATTATATGTAATGTCAGCTTTTCCAACCTTTAAAGTAGAGTTTGTCTGACAAAACAAAAGTTGGATCTTAAGGATGCTCATTTTTTGCTGTCCTGGATCTTTTCTGCCACTTCTATTGTTTAAGTCTTAAGTTTAAGTAGTTAAGCTTCGCCTTCAGCCTCTCAGTCGCTAAAGTTACACATCACCCTGATCCCATAACTCGACACGATCTCTGTTTTCCTTTCACACGTTGGAAGCTCCTTTGGGGGAAAATTCCAATTGAAGCTCTCACAGTGAAGCCCATAAATAAACAGTCAAGATCTCAGATGCAACGTAAACACTCTTTGCTTTGAGCCACTCGAGCAGGACCGCTCGCTTTCTGGCCGCAAACGAGATAAAGGCCCTGATGCACTTCAAGAGAAATCAAAGATTAACAGGGTGTGACGTCATTTTGAACAAAATCGAACCAAAACAGCATTTGTTTGGAGTCCCACACATAACGTGGATACACTCTAAAAAATGCTGGGTTAAATACAACCCAGCGCTGGGTAAAATATGGACAAACCCAGCGATTGGGTTGTTTTGACCCAGCGGTTGGGTTACTTAACCAGAAGGTTAGGTTAAACATTTAACCCAACTGTTGGTTGAAAACAACCCAGTGCTGGGTTTGTCCAAATTTTACCCAGTGCTGGTTTGTATTTAACCCAGCATTTTTAAGGGTGTATTAAGAATTTGTTCCCTTGTTTTAGTAAACTGTGGCCATGTTGTTCTAATTAATTACCTTGATTTGAATGAATTAAAACTAGGGAACGGATTAGTTCAACATGGCGATTATTTGCTAACAGGGTTTCTGTGGGTCTTAATTCACCCTTCCACAAAATTAAGGCCTTAAAAGGTCTTAAATCCGAGTGGAAAATATTACATTCATAGTCATGGCATGTTGCATACCCTGCAAAAAAAGTATATTTTGCACAGTATTTTTATTTTGTTTTCCAATACAAACATCTAAACATCTTGTTTTCTGAGAAATTAAACAAAATTATGTGAGTTTATGCTTAAAACAAGAACAAATATCTGTCAGTGAGGAATGAAAACTTGTTTTCACTTTAAAGTTGAATTTTCTGAGCCCATAGACAGATCTTATTTTAATCATAAACTCTTTTTTGGTCTTTTTGGTTCTCAAGTAAATGTATTTTGATTCAGGAATCTTTAGGCTTTTGCATTCGAAAACAAGAATACAGATGAACAACTTTTTTGTTGTTGTTGTCCCCCCCCACCCCCCACCCCCACTGTGTTTAGAAGGTAATAAATACATATTATTTATTAATAAATAAATATTTATTTATTTAGTAAAATTAATTAAAAGGTTATTGAGATCTGTTGGAAGTTGTTGTTTTTTTTCAAACTTTGAAGCATTAATAAAAGACATTTACGTTTAGAAAACATATTGACGTATTGTGTTCCGTTAAATGTATTCCTTTACATTTTCTTTACCTGGTCGTAAAAAGTAACATTTACCGTCATAAAACCTGCCAACTCTAACTAAAATGAGGGAACATATTCTACAATATTGATGATAGACAATGGACCTTTTTTTGCCCGTAAAAATCTGCTGAAATATTTCTAATATGGCCGCGCCTAAATAATTTTTGATACCATTATTCTCAGGTATTTTTACTTTCTTATTACCGTAACCTAAGCAAATAATAAAACAAACTTTGCTGTACATCAGTAACCATCATCAGCTTCAGGTTCTTGCACAGCTATTCCAGAGTGGAAACTTTTTTTTTTTTTACAAAAATATGAAGCAGCATTGTTAATAATAACAAACTGTCCTTGAGCAGCAAATCAGCATATTAGAATGATTTCTGAAACAAACTTTGCCGTACATCAGGTGTAAATGTAAATCCACCTGTGTGCTCATCTCTTTCTCCTTCTCTTCTTCTCCACCATGTCATCCTCTCCCGATGTATCCCGGACTTCCTCCTTCCTCCGCCCAGTTTGTGAGTACATCATTTGTCCATCGCTCTTCTTTAAAAGCCGCAGTGAATATGTCTCTGTTGTGCCCCAGTGGTAGTCGTCACAAAGGTGCTATTTGGTTAGTGAGAGTTGAGGGTTCCCCGCCAGGCCAAAACAGGAACCTGAGGAACAAGGGTAGGAGACGTCACATCCTGTTGGCCGTCGTCCATCTTGCCGAGCCTCCATGAGGCCTGTCGCGCTGTCAGTCAAGCATGTGTGCCGGCCAATCCATCTCAAGGGTGCGACAGCCCAAACAATAGAGCGGCTGATAGGGAAACCAGACTTCATCTATCACAATATGTCCCACGGGCAGGACTGGAAACACCTACAGGAGACAGGACCCTCCCGTAGTACAGAACACATGCTTAAGAATACACAATAGTGGAGATATGGTGCGTATTGTGTACAGACGAAATAGTATGCAGTATGCGTACATAGATTTCTCACATGCATTGTTGTCATGTGACTTTAGACAGTGAGTTGGGTCTAGTTATTAAAAACTATTGAAAAGTGTAATTTTGCATTTTTAATGCCATTTTGTGTAAAAATGGGTTGAGTTACTGAAATCGTAGCTTATAGATACTGCTTCAGGTTCTTACACTTACATTCATTTTTTTTTTTACAAAAATATGAAGCAGCGCAACTGTTTTAAACATTGATAATAATCAGAAATGTTTCTTGAGCAGCAAACCAGCATATTAGAATGATTTCTGAAGGATCATGTGACACTGAATGTAAAATTCAGCTTTGATCACAGCAATAAATTAAATTTAAAAATATATTAAAATAGAAAACCGTTATTTTAAATTGTAATATTTCTAAACATTACTGGTTTTTTTACTGTATTTATGATCGAACAAATGCAGCCTTTGTAAAGCATAAATCACTTTTTTTTTAAAATCATTACCAAAATCTTACCAATACCAACATTTTGCACAGTAGCAGTAATGAACTCACTTCAAGCCCATTGCACTGTGGGATACAATATTTGGAGTGGTATGCTATTAGGAACCATAGCCACTAAAAGCATTTCAGTATGACAAATTGTTGTCACATGACCTCATTTTGTTTACTTCCAGAAGTTGTTTTATGTTTTTAGAGTAGTTTTGTGTAGAAATATCTTAAATCTAGGCAGTTCGAATTAGTATTTGACAAATTGGTGTAAAAATCAAAATATTATCAGCTGATATAGCATGGAGTAGTGATTTACTTTTGACACATTTATTTGGTATTTTTCACAATGCATTAAAATGAGTGAAACAGAAATTTAAAGTTAAATAATGTAGACCAGAACTGTATTTTGTTCTTTGCTATATATACATTTCTTTACAAAACAAAAAAAATCCATTCCATTCATTCATTCATTCATTTTGTTTTTACTCTTTCAGTTTTGTGAAGAGTTTTGAGAGGTTTGGTTTAACGTTCGGGAAACAGAAAAATTAACTTAAAGGGATAGTTCACCCAAAAATGAAAATGACCTTGTGATTTACTCACTCTCAAGCTACCCTAGGTGTATATGACTTTCTTCTTTCAGACGAATACAATCAGAGTTATATTAAAAAATGTCCTGGCTCTTTCAAGCTTTATAATGGCAGTGAATGGGTGTTTCGATTTGAAAGTCCAATAAAGTGCATCCATCCATAATAAAAAGTGCTCCACACGGCTCCGGGGGGTTATTAAAGGCCTTCTGAAGCAAAGCGATGCATTTGTGAAAGAAAAATATCCGGTGAGAAAAACCGGTAAGAATATGCTAGTCTCTAAGGGGTGTAACGGTACATGTTTTCATACCGAACGGTTCACGGGGTAAATTCCAAATGGAAGTGATCTTCCCTATGCCCCATCACTTCCATTTGGAATTTACCCCGTGAACCGTTCGATACGAAAACACGTACTGTTACACCCCTACTGGTTTCACAAGATCCAAATTTTGTTTACAGCAAAGGAAAACCAGTCTCCTCTTGGTTTATATTGAAATCATCCAACATTTTTCTTTACAAATCCTCCTTTTGTACTTTTAATTAACCGGGTGTTTTGTTTCGCTCTTTCCTCTACGCTTCTGCATTCGTCACATTTTTCTTTCACAAATGCATCGGTTCGCTTCAAAAGGCATTTATCTGCTGTATGGAGCAGTTTTTATGATGGATGGATGCACTTTATTGGGATCTAAACACCCATTCACTGCCATTATAAAGCTTGGAAGAGCCTGGACATTTTTTTTTAATATAACTCTGATTGTATTCGTCTGAAAGAAGAAAGTCCTATACACTTAGGATGGCTTTTAGGTGAGTAAATCATGGGGTAATTTTCATTTTTGGGTGAATTATACCTTTAAACAGTGTCAGGTAAACTTTCCAGAAATAGAAAATTAAGCGTTAAGTAATGTAGGTCAGAAATGGATTTTATTCAATTTGAGATGATAGTATTTTAAAAAAAATTTCCTCACCCACATGACCCTTCTTGAAAGAAAAACATATCAAATGTGGAGAAAAGTTATTTGATCTTTTTTTTCCCTCCACAATAACGTTCACAGAAACTTAAGCACAGTACAAGCACATAAAGTGGCTGATTTTGATCCAGTGTCATCTTGAAGAATCCACCTCACATCATCGTCCTGATAAAGGAGGCGTGTCGCTCAGGCTGAGGTCAATAGCTTCCCATCTTCTCCATTCGTTGTGTTTGAGAGCGCCGGGCGTTTGAAGCTCCAGCGTCCGTGTGCATGTGTGCGGTGCGCGGCCCCTTCTCCTCCTGACAGGCCTTGTCAACAGCCTGATGCCTGGGTGGGTCCTCCATCAGAGGGTCATACCAACATCATCAATCTTGCACCCCGTGACAGGCCTGTGCTCCCCCCGCAGTGGGCACACTGGTTTGTTGTTTTGTAATTAGACCGCCATTAGATGGCAGGAAACCGTCCCCTCCACACCCTCTGTGCACAGCTGGGGCCCGCTGGCAGCCTATGGGAGGCATGGGCCACTCCACCGCGTGCCGTTAAGGAGGTGGGGATCTACCTAGTGGGAGAGAATGAACATGCGGAGTGTAAATGATGTATTACAAGATGAATCAGATGGCTTGACGATTGTGTACTAGCTCAAACAGTAATATATGTAAAATATATTTTGTATTTAATTTCGTCTAATTGAATTTAATACCATATATTTATATTTATATGTGTGTGTTACGTACATATTACAGAAATGAAAATTATTAAATAGGCTTAAGTGTCATGAATATAAAGTTACAGAGCAAAAAATCTGACAAATTTTACTTTATGTAAAATAGTTGTTAATGTAAAATATAGTTTGTATTAAATTGAATTAAATATTTTTGTTTAATTTAATACAAAATATGTCTATTTGTGTGTGTGTGTGTGTGTGTGTGTGTGTGTTACAGCAGTGACAATTATTAAATAGGCTTAATTGTCATGAAAATAATGTCAATAGTGTGCAAAAACTCTACTTACTACATGCAAAATATTTGTAAATGTAAAATATATTATATATTTAATTAAATTACATATTTTTATATAATTTGATTTAATTTAAAAAATAAAATGTATATATATATTTTTTTTTGATTCTTTCGATTATGGGATGAAATATGACCTGGACATGCTCTTGACACTTTTTGAGATATTCAGTCTTTTGTTCTTACAGGGATACACACCGTTACACATCGCAGCACTGCACGGCCATCGACATATATTTGACCTGCTGGTCAGGACATACGGTAAGCATTCATACCTCAGAATGATTTGTTTTGTTTTGTTTTGCTTTGCTTTATTTATTTATTTTTATTATTATTTATTATTTTTATTATTATTATTATTTTTAATCTAAGCATGTAACTCAAATTAACAGAGCAAAAATAAACAAAATATCATGACATATTCCGAAATTAAATAAGACAAATATGAAAGCAGTGACACTTGAGTTGCTTAATTTAATATTGCTGAAATATAAACATGTTCACAGGAGCGAAGGACAATCTGCGGGACTACAGCGGCCACTTAGCATATCATTACCTCAATTTACGAGAGACACAATTAGAAGACCATGAACTATGTGAGTCAATCTCCGTTCTTCTTTTTTTGTGCAAAAATGCAATGCAGCTGGGTGTTTGACGTGTGGCACATGTGGCACTGAGGATGTTTTCCACATTAGCGCAGGCCAGGCATGTGGTTTCTCTGAATCCACGGGGTGCCTCGTGGATCAGTTTTGGACTGTTTGTCTTCACCCTATTTGTCCTTCCAGCATGTTGTTTCATGCACAGTGTGGTCTTCTTCTTAACACTGCTTCGATGTTTGTTCTCCAAGCTGAAGTCAGCGAGTGCCACAGCTTGACCCAGGCCGGCGAGCGCAGGAACAGGAAGATCACCTCATTATTTCACTCCATGAAGAAGTGGGGTTCAGCGGAGGACCTGGCGCCCGTGCCGGAGGAGAGGACTGTTGCTCATCAGCTCATGCTGCCTGCGTTTAGACCCAGAAAGTTCTCACGGTAGACTGTGTGAAGTCTCGCTTTAGTGCCGCTTGAGTAGTGTACAGATGAAAACACACTTTGCTGCTTTATTCGCACAAATAGTATGATGTAGTTGTATTCACATTTAAGTAGCTTTTTAGCTTTATTAGCATTTGTAGTATTATGCCACAGCTGTGTGTGATATTCTATAAATGTAATGTCTTATTTTCTCTGCTAAAGGTTTACATTTTTCATTAAGCAATGAAAAGGTGCATTTTAAATGACCTGTTCATCTTATGATCCCACAGTTTTGGAGAACTATGTTGTCTGTATGTTAATGCTAAAGTTATGTCTTGAATAGAGACCAACTTCAGCTTTTATTTGCCTTATTTTCACCTTGCCAAACTTAAAAGTCAGAATCACAGTTTATGGTTCTTCTGTGAGAATGTTTTTCATCCTTAAAGACAACAAAATCAAAAAATACCTTATTTGCCAGTTTTAAAATATTTGATGTACTCTTATTTTATAATATACTCATCTAGTGTAGTATAGTATATTTAATTTTGTATATGTAATATATTACATATAATTATAAAAATATAGATAATAGATAGATAATATTTAACTTTTTGCATAGATAGATAGATAGATAGATACCATATAAATGAACAATGTAAGTATAAATATAAATATTTTTTTCAGCTAGCTAAATAAATCTGCTCCTGAAATAACTTTTTTTATGATGTCATGACAAAGGCTCTGTGCACCGGGAAAAATAATATCAGCCAATAATATCCCAAACAAGAGTTTTATGATCAAATTCCAATTAAAAAATGAGTCACACACTTTGAAATATTGAAATATATTTTTATGGAATTTAAATGCTTTGCGAGAGCCTTTTCTTTTATTCTTTTCTGCTGCTAATGTCTTGCCCATTTTTTTTTTATTAAAATAAATGTCTTTTGCATTCCAAAGGATGATGTTGAGTAAATCTTCTAGTTTGTGCCTTATGCTGGAAATCTGAGGGTCTTTCCTGTTACCTGAGTGTTTATTTTCATAATGTAATTTATGTTCCCTTATATAAAACAAAAAATAAATTGTACTGTGTGTAATGTGTGCTTTTTTCCCTCTAATTGTTAAGATCATTTTTTTGTCATAAAGTGTTGCGCCCCAATCTCCCACCTTTCCTCCGGGCCCTTGCGCTAATCTAGCGTGTGGCTCTTTCATCGCTCTCCTGGATCACCCTAACAAGATTACACCCTATCAGATCTTCCACCTCAGTCACTGTCCCCCGGCTCGCACCTTCCTAGCGAAGCTCCTGGGTTCTTTTCTCCTCTCCTTCTTTGATGCCCATCGGTCGCTCGGCTTTGAGCTCCCCAGATGGAGCAAATATGGGCCCTCCGTAAGGTCCTGAGCCCTTAATTCCAGCTTAGTCGCAAAAGGCCAGCGCTTGCTTTCGGGTTTTGGGTATCACAGGAGAAGACAGGCATCATTTCTGAAGGGCATGGGGGTGTTTGAAGGATAAGAGGGCCTTGCTGTAATAGATACTTATCTGACTGACCCGCAGCCCTCAAACACGATGCTCCTCTGAAGAGATTAGGACCCAGGGAGGGCACATTAGCTCTAATCCCGTGCTTTGAGGGCTCTGCCCCACCCTGCGCTCCACTTATTCTTGCCCCTTCTGTTGCAGGGGGATACCTTGTATCTGGCCCATGTGTAAGGGGAGCCTGTGGCTACACAGGACGGGGGTCGGAGGGTGTGTGCGTCTCTGCGTTTGCGGGGGGGAGCCGCTGAAAAGCCCGGAGAGGCCTCCACTGCTGTGTAACTGATTCTCGGTTCTCTGAAGAGATTAGGCGCTACATTGTTGGTTTGGTTGCTCATTTCCATCTGAGGGCCGCTACCCTGCGGTTAGGGGCCGCCGTTGTGCCGGGGAGGGGGAACTGAAACCAGCGGCTCAAGGCCTCCAGCTTCCTTGTAGTCTTTGTTTTACAAATGACCCAAAATGTAGATGTCATGTCACAGATGCCTTACAAGCACACCAGGTATTGATTGTGAGGAGAAAACTGCATTTAAGCTCTTCATGCAAGTCTCGATGCTGGCTGTTATTTTCTGAGTTTCTGATCACAAATGATCAATGATGTCTTAACTATCCATCAGTTACCATTTTGTCTATCCACCTGACTGTCTATATATCTATCTAATAAATTTTTAATCTATCTATCTATCTCTCTGTCCTTTTCTCTGCCTGTCTATCTATCTATCCCCACGCACCACTGAACTCTGACGGACTCTCCCACTCCCCCCTCCCAAATACACACACACAGTCACTTTAAATCAGTCTAAATAAGCTCTTTTTGCACTACAAATCATTATATCTGCACTGTTGTTTACTTCACTGGTTTGCACTCTATCTGCCGTGTGCTGCTTTATATATATATTTTTTTATATGTTGCTCATTTCCATCTGAGGGCCGCTACCCTGCGGTTAGGGGCCGCCGTTGTGCCGGGGAGGGGGAACTGAAACCAGCGGCTCAAGGCCTCCAGCTTCCTTGTAGTCTTTGTTTTACAAATGACCCAAAATGTAGATGTCATGTCACAGATGCCTTACAAGCACACCAGGTATTGATTGTGAGGAGAAAACTGCATTTAAGCTCTTCATGCAAGTCTCGATGCTGGCTGTTATTTTCTGAGTTTCTGATCACAAATGATCAATGATGTCTTAACTATCCATCAGTTACCATTTTGTCTATCCACCTGACTGTCTATATATCTATCTAATAAATTTTTAATCTATCTATCTATCTCTCTGTCCTTTTCTCTGCCTGTCTATCTATCTATCCCCACGCACCACTGAACTCTGACGGACTCTCCCACTCCCCCCTCCCAAATACACACACACAGTCACTTTAAATCAGTCTAAATAAGCTCTTTTTGCACTACAAATCATTATATCTGCACTGTTGTTTACTTCACTGGTTTGCACTCTATCTGCCATGTGCTGCTTTATATATATTTTTTTATATATTTTTTTACATTTTACCTTATTTGTATATTTGTATAGTTGTATTTTATACTTAATCTGTATATCTGTATTTATGTTCTACTGTTAGTGTTATCTGTATGCACCAAGGGTCTGAGAGTAACGCAATTTCAATTCTCTGTGTGTATGTGCTGTACATGTGGAAGAATTGACAATAAAGCAGACTTGAACTTGAACTATCCATCTATCTATCATTGTCTGTCTGTCAAATGCATTATCTATCTATATCAAATGCATATCTATCTATCTATATATCTATCAAATGCATATCTGTCTTTCAAATGCATATCTATCTATCTATCTATCTATCTATCTAATGCATTATCTATCTATATCTAATGCATTATCTATCTATATATCTATCAAATGCATATCTATCTATCTAATGCATTATCTATCTATCTGTCTATCAAATGCATATCTATCTGTCTTTCAAATGCATATCTATCTATATCGCATATCTATCAAATGCATATCTATCTGTCTATCAAATGCATATCTATCTATCTATCTATCTAATGCATTATCTATCTATATATCTATCAAATGCATATCTATCTATCTATCTATCTATCTAATGCATTATCTATCTATATATCTGTCTATCTATCTATCTAATGCATTATCTATCTATCTGTATCTATCAAATGCATATCTATCTATCAAATGCATATCTATCGCATATCTTTCTATCAAATGCATATCTATCTATCTAATGCATTATCTATATATCTATCTAATGCATTATCTATCTATCTGTCTATCAAATGCATATCTATCTATCTATCAAATGCATATCTATCTATCAAATGCATATCTATCTATCGCATATATATCTATCTATCAAATGCATATCTATCTATCTATCTATCAAATGCATATCTATCTCTATCTATCAAATGCATATCTATCTGTCTATCTGTCAATCAAATGCATATCTATCTTATCATCTATCTATCAAATGCATATCTATCTATCTATCAAATGCATATCTATCTATCTATCTGTCTATCAAATGCATATCTATTCTGTCTGTCTGTCTAATACATTTTAGATTTGTCTATACATATATTTGTGTCTATATTTCTGTCTATCTCTCTTTCTGTTTATAGAACTGAGGTGTTCTCTTTTTGCAGCATCCCAGTCTTTCATTCAAGCAGCAGAACATGTAGCAGGAATCTGGATGCCGTATGGACATAGTGCACTGTATTCTCAACCACACATAATGATGCTAATGTAGATGGGCCCCAATCTACAGCACAAACTCCAACCACCATGCCGCCTGTCAGAGGCTAACGAACACCACCTGTCACTCACCCCATGCGGAGGCTGTCAATCAAATCACACCCCAAAAGAGAAAGAGGAATGGGCGGGCCCGGTCCAGACCCCTAACAAAGGCATCCTCCCATTGGTGAGTACTTGCAATGTCACTTCTCTGTAAAAAAGAGTGATAGAGTGGGACTGATAACACAAATGACAAAAGATAGATGGATAGTGGCGGGGGTGATTGATAAAGGAGAGGTGGGAAAGACTGATAACATTCACGTTCAGCTAACTTCCCTCTGTTTGGGCCTGTGGACTTGGCATAGCTCATTAGCTCTCAAAATGAGGGTTTTGAACGCTAAAAACAACAGCATTGTTTTAGGAGGCCAACACTTTTATGAGGTCATGCCATTTAAAATGAGACCTGTCTTGTAATGAAATGGCCCATATAAAAACAAACTTCTTTTTGAAAAGCGATTTTAAACGATTTAGACCACAAATGGAAATTTATTTTAATTTATTTAGGTTTGTCAACTTAAAAAAATGTGCTTCATAACATTCAAATGACTCATAACCTTTTATTTAGATCAATATTAAAATATATTTCGTACAAAAAAAATGAAAGTCTTTTTTAAAGGTCATATTAGGTGGAAAAAGCTCCTTAAAGTAACATCTTGCTTTATTTATTTGTTTGTTTCTTTAGACTAAATTCCTCTACATTATACTTTAGTAAAAAATAAATGTGATAATTCCTTTTTAGCTATTATTCTTTTAGGTTTAATGCTAACTTGATTCACAGTGTTTAATTCGATTTGACCTCTTCTCACCTGAAAACGACTTAAAAAGGAATTACTTCCAGAAAGAAAAACTAACATGTCGAAGGTGTGAAACACTCTCTGTGGATTCCCTTCATGCTTTTGTTAACAGATCTTATTGACACCTGACTATTGGCCATTCTAATGACA